ACCGCCGAGCTTCTGCTGTGTGAGCCGTGCTCTGCAGAGTGCGTTCCTCGTGCGTCTTCCTGGGAGCCTGTCGCCCACAGTGCCGCGGGGCGGACTGGCAAGCAGCTTGTGAAGTCGGAGAGCCTGCGCCTTTTGCTGCGACTCCGTGCGAGGCTTCAGGTTCTTTCCCACCGGACGAACGATGCTTTGCTGGTGGCGCGAATCAGGCGCTCACTCCGGTCCACGCGCTTGAAGGTGCCCAGCCTGCCTTATGCCCGTGATGGCGATGAGCTCTCTCTTCTTCCACATGTTGCACAGCTCATCGAGACTTTCACGCAGCAGGAGGAGGAGGCAAGAAAGCAGATGTGGCGCACCAGGACGCGTGCTGACCTGCCTCGTGCCCGGTCTTTTGTTAAGCGGCGCGCTGATGAGCAACTTGCTTGGGAGCGTCAGCTTCCGGATGTTGCCAGTCCGGGCGACCCTGCACATCCGGCGGTCGCGGTTGCAGCTGTGGCGAAGGACCTGCGGGCGAAGCTCTGTCCCGCGTCCTTTCGGGCGGTTGACATGCAGGCCATGCGTGATCTGTTGCGGCCCCTGCCGCGCCCCGCAAGCACGGAGGTCGTGCCTAACATCACGCCGGAGGCTCTCCGACGCTCAATGCAGTCCATGCGGCACCGTGCTGCCGGGCCGGATGCGTGGAAACCTGGGCTGCTTTGTTCCATGCCTGATCTGTGGTGGGAGTGGACCTCCCAGCTGTGGAATCGGTGCCTTGCTTGTTGTGACGTCCCCGCCCAGTGGGCGCAGGCACGTGTGGTGATGATTAAGAAAATCAAGGGGGGCTTCAGGCCGTTAACCGTCTCTCAAGCTGTCTGGCGTGCGGGAGCAAGGATTTTGAATGCCCAACTTTCCGACTGGATAGGTTCTTGGAGGTCTCCGTCGGATGCCGGTGGCATCCCGGGCACGTCGGTGTCGGGTGCCCTGCTTCAGCTGAATGCTGCAATGCGCGGTGGTGCTAATGTTGCGGTACAACAGGACATTGCGGGGCTCTTTGATGCCATCCAGTTTGAAGCCCTAGAGGTCCTCCTTTCTCATCTGAACGCGCCGCCTTTTCTTTGGCCGCTGCTGAAGGCCTTTTACACGCGAGCTTCGCGCATCGTCCAATTTGATGGTGCATACAGTGATGCCTGGTTTAAGCCCCGCTTGGGTATAGCTCAGGGTTGTCCCTTAAGTCCCACCCTTGCTGCCGCATTTAGCCACCTTTGGACCTTGGCTGTGTTGAGACAAGGGGTTTCAGGCCTGGTCTACTTGGACGACCGTTCCTTCTGGACTTTCTCTGCGGATCTTGGCGACCTGGAGCATGCGATTCGGCGCTCCGACCGATTCGATGCCACTTGTGGTCTTGAAATTTCCCTGCCAAAGTGTGCGATCGTGGCGCCAGAGGGTCATGTCGAGGCCTCTGCTCTGGCTGCCCGATTCAACTATCAGTTTTCGCAAACCCTTGAAGTTTTAGGTGTCACTGTTTCCTTTAATGATGAATGGGGCTTGCTGAAATTTTCCTTGAGAAAAGCTTTGCTGCGCATGGACCTTTTGCGCTGGGTGACCGTTTGCAGTCGACTGCGGGCCCTCATGCTGAAATCGCTTGTTTACCCGTGCTTGGTGTGGGCCGCTGCCTATGCTACGCCCCTGGCAGGCGAGATGAAGCAAGTTAGAGATGCTGCGATTCGAGTTTTTGACTGTCAATTTTCCTTTGAAGCCCCGCGTGTCCTGATCTTCGAACATGTGGGGTGGATGCTGGAGCCACAGTGCGCTGCTGACTCTGCTGTGCTCCGCGAGGCCTGGCGCCTCCTCTGCAAGCCTCCGGCCTTTGCTCTGGAACAGCCGCGTGATGCCCGGGGCCAGCGCTGGGATCAGCTTTTGCCTGCTGTGCCTGGCCTCCTTCGTAAATTGAGGTGGAGCGTCGTTGAACGCCCTGACGGCTTCTTCTTCGCCAGCCGCGATGACTTGGGGATCTCTCGTGAGGTGCAGGTTGGATGGGAGAGCTTCGCTGAGGTTAAGGGCTGGCTGTTTGACCACTACCGGCACCTTTACATGCAGAGATGCCAGCGAGTCTGGCGGAGCTTTCATAGGCCGGACCCGAGCCTTGCACGAGGCCTGGATCTTGAGCCTCCGTTGCGGGATGCGCGCTTTAGCTTTCGTGGGCACCGTGTTGCCATGCATGAGGCGACCACTCCTTATATGAGACGGGCTGCTGCTGTCACGGGAGGCTCGTGCTGGTTCTTTACGGCCGGGCAGGGTTTGAATGAGCAGCACAGGCGCATGCAGTGCCTCTGCGGCGCGACTGCTCCGTCGCGACCGCATGTGACCTGGGTTTGCGAGTGCACCGAGGCGCTCCGACGGGACCACCCCCCTCCGACGACTCGAGCGGAGGAGCGAATGTTTGCAAAGTCGACTCCCTTGAAACCTCCGGCGCCTGCCTCCTCCGACTGTGGGGCTTTTCGGGCGGACTTAGATGCTGCTTTCCGTGCTGCGCTCGGCTCGGGCCGGAGCAGGATTTATGCGGCTACTGATGGCTCCAGCCATCGTTCAGTCGGTGCTTATGCGGTGGCGATCGGCGATCCGTCTTGTGTCTATGCCATGGGCACTGGGGCAGAGGACCAATCCCCGTATCGGCAGGAAGTTCTGGCCCTTCACGCGGCCTTTGCTTCGGTCCACCGGGTGTGGAGTGAGGGCTGCGAGACATGCATCTTTATCTTGACCGACTGCAAAGCTGCCCTGACGGCCATCTCGGGCCATGGTGATGATCTCTTTACGTTGGGTCTCTTGCTGAGGGACGCGCGCCGTCTCTGGAAGGAGCTGGAGAGGCGCGGCTGTGCTATCTCCTTGATTTGGGTACCGTCACATAATAAGCACCCCCGCTGGAGGCCTTCGCCGGATCACGATGCGGATGTGCTCCGCGCCTTTAACCATGCTGCAGATCAGGCGGCGGGCAACTGCATGCAAAACAGGCTCTCGGGCTCTCTCAGGGAGCGATGGCATCAACAGTGCGATCAGGTTCGGGATTGGGAGCTGACTACCATCCGGCTTGCGGCAGCTGCTGCCGAGAAGCTGGATAAACATGTGAAAAGTGTTCCTCTTGATGATGCTGAGCCCGAAGGGGCTGAGCCTTGACAAGTTTGGCTGCACCAGAATGTTCTTTGACAATTTACCTTCGGCCCCTCAGTGATTGCCCTTGGTATGTCTTTTGTGTGTGTGCAGCTTGCACTCTCATGTGCCGGGCGGTACGAACATTCACTCCCTGCCTGCTCCCCTTCGGGTTTGCTTGGGTTTAGGCCCCATCTTTCCCTAGTGGTTTCCGTGCGCACCTGGCGTTAACTCCTCTATGCATGAGCGCGGCCTTGCTTTGCTGCGTGGTGCTGCTGCTATTGCGTGGAGCTCGATTTCCCAGGCTGCTGTGACTCCGCGATGCCTTCGCCCCCCCTTTGGGTTTCTTGGGTTTAGGCCCTTCTCCCCTAGGGGTACCCGTGTGCATCTTGCGTGAGCTCAGGCCTTTCGCTGAGCGCGGCTATGCTTCCTTGTGAGGCAGTGCTGCTGCTGGCGGGAATACCTGATGTAGGGAAGTTTCCTGTTACAAACTTTGCTTGACCTTGCTACGGCCCATCCGCTTTTGCCGGGTGCGAGCTTCGAACCACTCCGAGCGCTGCTTGATTGGCTCCTGCTTGGCACTGCTGCTGCTGGTGTGGGCTCGTTTCTTTAGGCTGATCCTCTCCTTTTGGGCTTTTTATTTCGGGTTTAGGCCCTTCCCTCCCCTTAGGAGCCCTGTGTGCAAATGAGGTGCGCTTTGGCCTCTCGCCGAATGCGTTTATGCTCTACTAGGGCTGCTGATGCCGGCCCGGGTGTTTTCGCATTTTATACCTTTCGTGTGCGCGTGATGCCTCACGCTTTCTTGAATTTCACGTGGCATCCTTTCTTGACGGCCCCTGTTCCCTTTGGGCTTTTCGGGTTTAGGCCCTGTCCCCTCCCTAGGGGTACCTGTGTGGACTGGGTGTGCTCCTTTCTGGTCTGGCGATGCTGCTGCTGGTTTGGGCTGCTGGCTCACCCTTCCTCCTCTTCGTCGTCTACTACAAGGGCGGCTGCTGTGGGCTGCGGAAGCGAGGTCCTCTGAGCTCCACCGACGACGCCTTCTGAAGTGACGTGAGAGCCTCCCGTGTAGTTTTGAGTTCTTCTCGGATTTGTAGCTCTGCTGCTCCGAGCTTTTGACCTGATCCGTAGCTTTGCTGCTCAGGCCATGTTGTTTCGAGCTTCTTTCCGAACCGTTAGTTGCTGCTCGGAATGTTTCCGGATGTGATTGCGTAGCTAATCTGATACATCCAATTCGATGCTTTTCACAAGAGGAGGTACATGTCAGACGGACTGCGGCTTCCTGACTTCCCTCCCATTCAACGTGTGGCGAAGGCTCTCTTAATGTTGCCTCGTCTTTTGTTAATAGTGTCGCTGATGATCATCGCTCGGGACTTGTGCTGCACAGCTTCGCACTCTCCTAGATGACTCAGCATGTTGCGGGATGTTTCACCCGACCCGCGAGGACCTCGGACAGCAGCTGAGCGGTCTTCTCGAAGTCGCTCAGCCCCCAGACCACCGGAAATTCTGGAGTTTTGTGGAAGACACGTTTCCGCTTGCGGATGACTCTTTCCACTTAAACTACAAGGTTGTTTTATTTGAGGGTAATCCTTAACCCTCAAAATGGCGACAACCGCGAACCGATTGATTGCATGATTTCAAACTTTTAATTTCTGTGTGAAAGCATGCTTTTATCACACGAATGATTTTCCCAACCTTCAACGCTTGCATACAGTGTTCTTTATGCATGTTGAAGTTATGAATGTTTCTATGCACCGGCGGTTTGGCAGATCAAGTGGCATTTCGGGCCACTGGGAAAATTTTGTCCCGCCCACCCACACCAAGGGGGGAAGCCTCTCTGGCTCGAAATGAGTTTGAAGTCTGTAGGGGGCTCGGGGCGGCGCATGGTGAGCACAGTTTTTCATTGCGTTTTCAAGGCGCTTTTGATTGGCTGGAACGACTGCGCAGTCCCAGACTCCATATGGTGTAAGACACTCTGCCGCACCCGACAGATGCATGAGAGTCAGCAGATCAAGTGGAACACAGGGCCGACTTGGCCCGAGAATGCTGGCCTCGCTCAGCAGCGAGCTGAGCCTGATACTGCACTTGCCGGAGCGCATAGTGAATACAGTCATTTTTGGGGCTTATTCGATGAACAGCAACACCTTGACTCACATGATGAACTGCATGGATTTTGGCATGGGCATGGTTGCGATTTTCATGCTTCTTTTCATGATGATTCTTATTCCGGTTTTCGAGCAGCTCTTTTACAGACGACAATACGCCAGCCAGGGCCGGTCCCAAGTCCGGCGGCGCAACAGGACCATCCTTACGACGACGACATCTTTCCTGAGCGCAGAGGCGAGGGTAGGCGGGAACCACAGCCCGCCCGAAACCATCACAGTGATTTTTCCGAGCTTCCGAGGGTGAAGCCAGTGGCCCAAGGACATTCATATACGGTCAAGCGTGCCTACAAACGAGCATGCAAAAGAGCCGTGTCATCACAGACAGGACACACTTGGTACAAAGGCCGATGGCTCTCAGCAGCCGCCCTTTGTGGACAGTACGTTCCCTCAACTGAGGTGCCGGAACCTCCCAAGCATAGTCAAGGAGCACGCAACCCTAGCGGCACTAGGCATTGCAAGCTTCTTTCCTGGAACTCAGGCGGCCTAGCAGCTAACAACTGGGACATCCTGCAGAACTGGTTAGCTGATCATGCAGTGCAGCTTTGTTGTATACAGGAAACGAGATGGAACATGGAGCAATTCTGGAACAATGGACATTATCACGTCATCCATCACGGCCAAGGCCGCTCAGGTGGACTTATGACGCTGATCCACAATGGGCTGGCTCACAAGGGACAAATTCGGTCCGGTACCATGGCAAATGGCAGGATCCAACACACCCGGATCTACGACCCGGACGGCGGTATTGACATCATAAACATTTATCAGCGGGTCTGGTCACATGGAGCCGTGGCAGACGTAACAGCTCAGCGAAAGACAGTCTGGAACGCGCTCAACGCGTGCTTGGACGGGATCCCAGCGCGAAACCAAGTGTTGGTTTGCGGTGATTTCAACACACAGTTGCCGCATTGCAAAGGGGTGACCGGCACAGCAGTCAGCAACACAACTTATCGAGACAAGAGAGATGAACATGAACTCCTTGACATTCTCCGATTACATGGACTGATTGCAGCCAACACCTTTCACGATGCCAAACAGTACACTTATTGTGGCTCAGGCTCCCGCTCCCAGATCGACTACCTCTTCATGCGCTCAAACCAGGCCCAGGGCCTCAGCAAGCGCGCGCATGGACTTCACAAATTCCCGTTGTTGGCAGCCCGCGGTGAGGGCTATCATGTTCCTTTGCTGGCGCATGTCCCCAGGAGATGGCGCATTTGGCGCTACGACAGTGCACCTCGCCAACCACGCGGTCCCAGCAGGCCTGAACTACAACGTCATATCAAAGATCACGTGGCTCATGTCGAACATTACCTGCAGCAAGCCCTCGTGTCCCCCTTTGACAGTGTAGAAGCAGTGGACCAAGCCATCATTGAGGTCCAAAATCAAATTGCTACGCAGGTCCAGCATGTGCCAGTACAACACCAACGGCCATGGCAAAACCTCGATCTGCGCACAGTCCTCAAGCAGGCCTGGGCACATCTACGGCAAGCCAGGGCACGACGCAGCTGCGGACTTCGCGATGTTTTTCAGGCGTGGAGACACATGCAGCAGTTCAGTAAGCTCATCAAATCGACAAGGACTCCATGTCGGCGACTTAGACGCCAGCGGCTCCTGAGCATCCTCAACGATGCCCAATATCAAGAACGGAAGCGGAATATCCATGGCATTTATCGGCTAGTTGATCGATTGGCGCCGAAGCGCACTCAGGCTAGGCCGCAGATGCGAGATGATGCGGGCGTCCTGCTGGATGCTAGACAGGAGGCCACGAAGACAGCTAGCTACCTCCGGTGCTTGTATGTGGGCGAACCTTGTGTCGATCCTCTCATGTTGCTACCGGGTGTAGGGCAGATTCTGACTACTCAGGATATATATGACGGTCTTCAGGCCATCCCCGTGAACAAGGCAGGGCCCAAACACTTGGCCTTGAATTCCATGTACAAACACGCGTCAGCATGGCTGGCACCCATCTATGCGGAATTCCTGGCCTCGTGGTGGAACGGTCGTGTGCCCTATATCCCACAACCTTTCAAGGATGCTTGGCTGGTCATGTTGACCAAACCTGGCAAGGTTTGTCGAGGCCCTGCTGATATGAGACCAATCGGTCTCTCCCATCCCGTGGGGAAGGCACTGCTACGAGCTTTGCGTGAGAAAGTCCAGCCCTGGGCAACCGAGTACATGGCTTATACACCGCAGTGGGGTTATCTGCGCGGCCGCGAGGCTTCAGATGCTATGGCTCGTGCTTTTGGGCATTGCTCTGCAGTTCGAGCCTTATGTCAGTCACAGACCCAGAACATAAATCACAAACGAGCGGGGCATCAACGACAGGAGCTGGTGGGCGGACTGGCAGTAGCCTTAGACATAGCCAAAGCGTTCGACTCGGTTCCCCATGCTGAAATAAACCTGGCTATGCAGGCAGCACAGATACCTCCAGAGCTTCGACAGCTAGTTCTTCTATGGATCACAGGCGCGCAGTATCATCTGAAAGGAGAGGGTGGCAACCTAACAGTGGACGTAGGCCGAGGAGTACGACAAGGATGTGTCCTCTCCCCATTGCTATATATCATGGTCGTGGCACGGCTACATTCCCAGCTTCGAAGCGCCTTCGGAGACGAGGCGGACCAGATCTTGGATTACTTTGCAGATGACACTCTGATTCACCAAGAGTTTACGTCGCCCCAAGGTTTTCGGGAGGCCATTGAGCGAGTGGGGAAGTTGCTGGAGGTCCTGGCCCAAGCCGGCTTGAACATCAACGATGACAAAACCCAGGTCCTGCTACGGTTAGCGGGCAGTCGGGCAAAACGGATGCTTCAGGAAGTCACCGAAACACGACGGGATGGTCGGCAACTGAGAGTCTCAGCGTTATGGATGCAGCGATTCTTACCAGTGTGCAAACAGGCCAAGTACCTGGGAGCGCAGCTATCATATGAAGCCTATGAAGATGCTACCTTGCACCACAGGGTGACGGCAGCAAGGGCTACCTATGGACGACTACGCCGCATTCTTACCAGTCGCAGCAATCTTTCTCTCACTTCGCGAGTTCGTTTGTGGTCTGCATGCGTCGCGTCAGGGCTGTATTATGCTTTGGACTCCAGCGGTATCTCGAACAATGGCTTGCAAAAGGTTCGGGTCTTGGTACAGAAGCAACTACGCGCCATAGCGCGTATGCCAACCCACATAACGCACGTCAGCAATCAGGAATTACTTGATCGGCTGGGGGTTTGCGAGCCGGGGGCCCACATCCTCCACAACATGCAGGGACAGCTGCGTCGATGGCAGGCAAATGCAGACCATGACAATCCCATTCCCATCAAGGCGCAAGCTACTATCGGAAGATGGCGGCAGCAACGTGTGGATGAGCTAAGCGCTCAGCTACAACTGGAGCAGAAGGCGGGCAGAAGTGTGCTTACGTGTCCGCATTGTGGACTGGAGTGTGCAAATCAAACGGTGTTAGGCTCACATATTTCCCAAAAGCACAAGGCTGCACCAGTCACCTTCAACCGTCTGGTACATTCCACAGGAGGTATGCCGCGATGCTCTGGTTGTCAGGCGCTTATGAGCTCCTGGGCTAGATTGCAAAAGCATATCGAGCATGGAGCCTGTCCTACCCCCATCGGGATCGACACACCTGAAGCCTCACAGGCCAAGCAGCCGGATGAAAGCGAGGCTCAGCGGTTGGAGCCAGAGATCGAGCAGTCAAAACAATCACCTGAACCGCCTTCCAGTGATCAACCTCTCATTCTGCAGCCTGAAGTCATTGCTGTTGTACGTGAGCATGGTTGGCGAAAGCTCGCCGCGAATACTACCTGGAGGCCCAAGCTTGCTCAGTGGTGCTGTTTATGTGGGACCTGGTGTGTTTCAAACAGAGCGGTCAAGATGCATTTGGCCAAATCTCACAAAGATGTCTGGACAAAACATAAGCATCGGATTGAAACCCTCTGTAAATCTCAACTTGCTGACATCACCGTCCCATGTGGCCTGTGTGGATCAGTTTCCAAGGACCCTAAATCACACGTGATTGCTTGCCCAGTCCTGTTTCAATCGCTGCTTATATCCTTGGTGACGGCGGATGGCGAACGCGGCGGAGGTGAACTTCTTCAAGCACTTGCTACCGGTGGGAAGCCAACAAGAGCAGAGCGGGGCGAACAGGGCCACAACGGCAACACACGCGCCGCTGCAGACGAGCAAGCGGCCCAGGACGGAGGAGCAGCAAGGACGCCGACCACCGCGCAAAAGCAAGCATCAGGAGCGAAATGGACGACCGGAGCAGGGGAGCCAGGAACGCGACATCACCAAGCTCGTGGAAGCAGCGGCCAAACTGACGCTGAAATTGGCGGACGAACACCAACTGCTGCTTCAGGACTGCGGGTTTACTTGGTTCGTGAGCACGGAGCAGGGGGGAGTACTCCCCATGATGTTCGGCATCAGCTCGGAGTGGAAGAAGCTGAAAGAGACCAACCCCCAAAGGATCACGCAACCTCTGAACGTGCTCATGCTGGAGTGCATTGTGACCGAACTGCAAGCTCGTCTTCGAAAGATTGGGGAGGACACCAGTGTAAAGACGGATGCGATTCAAGCGGGATGGTGTACGGATCAGGGGGAGTGGAATTACAAAACCTGGGACCCAACACAGAAGGAGCTCGTAGCCACGACACGGGAACCTATGCCGACCACGGCCGTGGAAAGTCTTCTCATCGAGGTGCTAGCGGACATCAAGGAACCGGGAATTCTACACAAGTTTCATGCGACGCACACACTTCACGAAGACATGGACAAAGCCGAGGACAACAAGGAAGTCTGCTTCACGATTCAAGTATCCCTTCGCAATGCGGGCGAGAGGCTACATCGCAACCTGACCCAGCTCTGCGACAACATGGTCCTCAAGCTCTTGCGCAGCAGGCTGCGTCAGGAGCGCAAGCGTCGACATGGATTGGCCAAACAGCTGGAGGGGCTACTCTACAAATCGCGCAGACCCTACGTTTGCAGAACCCAAATAACGTGTGCTATGTCAATGCTTTGGTGCACATTTTCACTTGGATGTTAGCATGTACTGATCTTCAGGTGAATAGTTTGGGCATGGGGCAAACAGCCTGGCGCACCATTTTGGTGCAGCGCAAGGCCTTCCAAGTCATGCAACTCTTACCTTGGAGTGCCATTATGCGCGGTTGGACACATGGAGGGCGACAACATGATATATGTGAATTCTTCAATCATCTGATGTGCAGGTTCGGGGTTTCGCCATTCCATGGGACATGGAATGCTCGAGTTTTGGAGGCGGGACGGCTGCAAAATCATGACATTGGCGCGTGCGAGCAGATGATTCAGCTGGATGTTCCGACCTCTGGTCGATGGCAGCTGCAGGCAATGGTCGATGCATGGCATCGTCAAGCTTTTCCGTACGCTCTGGAGTCGGCACCCCAATGGCTTGCACTACGGCTTGACAGATTTCAACAGCGCTGCGAGTCAGGACCAGTCAACAAAGTGAGAACCGCCATGGACTGGTGCACAGACCTGATGCTTCCTGAGTTCACCGAAGGTTTGGAAGTTAAGCATGTTCGCTACCGTGTCTGCGCTTTTGCCGTGCACCTAGGAGAGAGTGTGACGTCTGGGCACTACAGAGCTCTTTTGTACAATGCGATCACAGGGAAGCTGCATTACTGCGACGATAATGCGAGAGCTGTTTTGCTTAAAGACTTCGGTAGGGTTTCGAGGGACGTTTATGCCGTTTTCTTAGCTCGCTCGCATTAGCAGTGTGCACGGGGCTTTCTTTAGGGGCAACATGTAAACACATGTTCTTCGCTTGTGGACCGGAGAGTGCTACCAACTGCGCTCTAGTCTTGCCACCCTGAGTGGCCGCTCTTCTGTAGAGGAGTGAAGTCCTTCTCACACGACGCACCGTTGTGGAGTCCGAAAGAAAGAAAACACCAAGGGGGGGCAATCGGGTGCTTAGCACGCAGCGGAATCTCTTTACCGCAATCTGCACTCGTGGAAACACAACCACTCGGGTCGTGCTTAACACGTCGTGTGCTCGAACTTTCTTTCGAACAGCCCACGTCGTGTGCTCGAACTTTCTTTCGAACAGCCCCTTTCGAGTGCTGGAACAAAAGAGTGCCACGTCAGCAGTCACGAGAATATATTCGGGAGCGATTTTTATAGCTGGCTCCAATACATATCATATTCTCGGGCATTTTGCATATCGAGCCCGTAAACTGACCCTTGAATCATTGTGCAATATCCGGTTCTGGAGTTTTGTGGAAAGGCCTTCATCGTGGGGCGAAAGGGTGTTGTGCGGACCCCAGAGAAGTGGGGATTCCACTCGGGGCATTTCAGCATCGTTGGATTCGGCCTTATTCAGTGATGTTCTGTATTACTTTCTTTCTTCTTCCGTATCTACCTTTCACTCTCGAGTATCATTTCTCTTCCAGGCCTGAATCCCGTTGCACATAGCTGTATGCAATCAAGCATTTGCTCCGACCCCGCTTTTGAGCCAAAGAAGAGACGATGCAGCTGCATGCTGGATGCATTCCACAAGTAGATGCTGACACTCAAGCCCACTATGTTGTCCATGCGCGTGCTATTTGCAGCTTTTGCAGTCACAGGCAATTGTAGTGCCCCATTGTGCAACCATGTACAAGCCGACACAGCCTCAGTGGCACACAACAATGCCAACAGGCATCATCGGTACAGCAATCAGTGCGGTGCAGCGACAAACAGCTTCAACCAGCAGCACCCCAATGCACCCGATTTCCCCACCACCAGGGATCCACAACATCCCACCCCACACCTCACCCCTGACCCCAACTACCTGGGGTTCAGCTCACCCTTACAGCCACAACACCACTTTCCCCCCTTTCCCTCCACCCCCTCCCCCACCCCAGCAGTTTACCGTCCCAGCTTCACCCACCGCACTGCCAACCCCCACGCCTGCCACTCCCCAACACACATTTGTGAGCTCATCCCCGATGACGACTCAAAACCCCAGCATTTCTTCACATACATTGCCTCAGGCCACCGTCACACCCCAACAACAACAACACACCAATCTCACGCCTGCAAATCCCCAGATACCAAACGACTTCGTTCAAACACCAGAGCATTGGGACAACAGACAGCTTTATGGCCTCAACCTACCCAAACACATTCAATCTACACCACATTCAGTGCACAACCGCACGGCAGGCATGCCGATCGCAACAGCACCATTGGTAGCATTTCTACGACACAATTGGTCATCATACTGGCTACGTTACGCCGCACACGGCTTTGACATCCATCTCACATGCAGCAAACATATCAGCGAAGCCGTCTTCACCACTGAGCTTATGGGTCAACTCCGAGCACGGAGAATTGATCTGGACCAAGCAGCCACCGCATGCTGGCAAGAGAAGCTCACACTCGCAAAACGGCCAGCGATGTCACACCTCATCAAGGAATTGGTGTTATACCTGCAAGAGCTGCAGGACCAGTACAATGACGGCAACAAAAAGGACAAGCAAGATGTTAAATCCGACACAGACAACACACAATCCCAACCCACTGAATCTCCAACACCACCACAATCCAGCAAATCACAACCTCATCTTCCACTTCAATCTTCGCAGCCGACAGAAGCAGACACTCTGGCTGCACACCGCATCAGTGACCTGGAAGCACGACTTTCAACAGCACTGGAGACAATCGAAGCTCTCCGTGCTCCGGATGCAAACACTGAGGCACCTAGCACACCAGCACCAAAGAAACCAAAACGAGCCACAGCACCTAGCACTCCTATCAACACGCCCTCTCCACCACCTGACTCAATTTCCACAATTGAGATTTCCCCCACCACAACCACTCGTGGACAGAAACGAGCTACCATAGATGACGCTACACACAACGACACCAGGCTCACCACTGGTAGCCTCTCCCCTTCCACAACAACAGTTGCAGAACAAGATACCAACGCGCTACATGCTTCCCCAGCATCGTCATCCACCACAGGTATGCATTTTCCGGGACGCTCCCTTCTGGGCGCCAAGCGACAGAAGCAGTCAACTCTCACACCAACGAAGACGGCACCCCTCGATCCCAAGATGGATCCCCAGCGCATCTTTCAGCAGCCTACAAAATCCAGTGTTTGGTTTCAGGAGCATTTCACTGGCGTTCACTCTGAATCCGGCATCACCAGATGGTTTGGTGCCATCAAAGGCATCAGCGACAAACAAAAAACACAGGTAAAAAAGTACCTTGACATTGTTGCTTCGGAATTCCCTTCACTCAGCAACTCACAAGAACAGACACTGCAGACCGCTGCAGTCGCCTGGGGTGTCCCGCCCAAAGCCATCGACAAATTTGGCTCCCCAGCACTGATCAAACTTGTCGCTATCATCAGTCAGATGACAGAGTGACTCAGGCAGTACTTGATTCAACACCGGCAGACACTGGATCACACAACAATTTTCCGACAAAAGCAATTCAAGAACATCATACGCATTCTGGATCGAGGCAGATCCATCTTACAATTTGTCGCACCATTGGCAGAACCAGTCTCTACACAATTCCACCAAATCATACTTTGGCTTCAAGGCTTGACCTTGTTACTTCGTACACAGCATTTCTACCTCAAACATGAGGAAGGACATTTCTCCAACCTACAGAGACTTTTCGCACATTCAAACATTTCTTTTCCATCGTACACACTCTCTTTCTTTCGTCAGCCACAGGTGGTATATTGCAGAGTCACCACACAACAACCTTTTCGTGGTTACGTCTACATCGGCAGCACAAGTCACTCTCTCACACAACGAGAGGGCACACGCAATCGAAAATTCAAGCAACTTCAACAACACAAGATTGTACAAGCCGAACTTGCCTTACGATGGTGGCTTAAACACAAATGCTACCACCAATACACACCAATTGTACTACAAGCCAACATACCCACAGAGCAATTGGAAGCCACGGAGAACACTCTTATACAGCACCACCAATCCAAGCTCAACTTTCCTTACATCACATCACACATGAAAGGAGCTTTCTCCGGCTTCACCAAAGCAGCCAACAACAAGCACAACGGCACAGCCACCTTATGGGCGAAGCAGCGCCGAGGCAAACTACACCACTCCATTCGAAGCTTCAGCAATTCCCCCTTATTCAAAACCAGGAAACAGGCATGGACCACAGTCTCACATCTTACTTCCAACACTCGCACCAGATTCGACACAACAAAACAACTGCTTTGCTCCGACACACCAGCAGCCACCGTTTACGCTTTACACAAACTCTCAAACAACTTACCACGACGCGACCGCAGACACGCTCACAAAGCTCTCAACACCGTTTTTAAGAAGCGACGACTAAAACCACCTCCTGTCACAAAACCCATTTACCTACAGCCACTCTTACACCCCACCTTCACCCAACACCTACGACAATATTTGCGCTCTCGTTTAACAAGCAACAAACAACACATTCCACCATTCCACCTACCCAGCACGAAACCGGTCTACAAGAAGCACCCCCCTATGCAACAACTCCTACACAATTGGCGCGATGCCCACACCACATGGCAACCTGATACACCACCACCCTGTACATGCTCACCATTACAGTCACAAGTACCCCAGGAGCACATTTTCCACAATCACATTGCTATCCAACTTGCAGAACTACAACCACAACACCAGTTTTTGGCATACTCCGGCAAAAGCAATTGCCTTCAGAAGCCCACACAGTTGGCGTCACAATTATGCCGAGCCATACGCACATGGCACCGACACTATGGACTACCTTACAACCATCAAACTGCAAAGCAGTTTGTATCAGAACAAATACCACAACACAATACACACTGCATTCAAAACAACATACTACAGGTCAAGATGATCAAGCAAGTCCAACACAAAATACCAACGGGCATCATCCATTGCGAAGATCACTTCCCGAACCGACTCACGTGGTACTGCCCAGCACTATACCACACTGCCATACACAACACTTTTTTAGACAAAGAGATTTTTCGGATGTCGCAGCGCCAACCTCTACAACACCACTTCGATGTCTACACAGACATCCGCAGTCTTCTACCAGCTTACACATGGGCGTTTCCACAGTGGGGACGCATCCCACGTGCCTACATTTTACCGAAAAGAAAGAAGCAATTCACGAAAGGACGTCCTATAGTGGCGTTCATCGACACCATGGGCAGGAAATTATGGGAAGCCTTAGCAGACGTACTGCAGCTGATGACCCTTCAAGCATGCCCAAACTCCTTTCACCAAGGAGACGGGATAACACAGCTCAAACAAACAGCGCTCTTTTTGCATCAGCGCAGGAAACTGCACGATTCAACAGATTACATCCTGTACAATCAGGATTTAGCTGGCTTCTTTACATCGGTCGATCAAAGCCGGTTTCTTTCAGCATACAGCATCATGGTTCGATGGTACAGAGAGAAGAACCCACTACACTCTTCCAAATTCTTCATTGACCACTCACAGAAAGACCCCACACATCGAGTCCACAGAGGTAAAAGCAGACAAAAGCAGCAGGAAGCCTCCTCCGGCAACAAACTTTGCATACAATTACAACACATACCACAACTCATCATTGCAGTGCTCAGGCTCAACTATTTCACTGTCGGTACATCACTCATTGAGCAATTTCGTGGAGCACCTATGGGCTCGCCCTGCAGCCCAGCTTTATGCAACATCGTGGTTGCTGTAGAAGAGCAGTGTTGGCACCACACATACAAGCAACTTTTCACGAAC